CCTGCTGGGCAAGCTGGGACGAGGACGATTGGATGAGAATATCATCCAGGTAGCACTGGAGACGCACCGGGATGGACCTGAGATACACCGCCAGTGCCGCCAGGATCTTTGTGAATGACCTGGGAGCTGAGGCTAAACCAAACAGTAGAGCTCTGTACTAAAAGTGAAGATCTGAGTAACAGAACCTGAGGTACCATCGGTGCCGGGGATGGATGGGGATGTGGAGATAAGCCTCCGTCAAATTGATCAATGACAGGAAGTCGCCTCTCTGATGCTGTCCAAGATTGACTGCAGAGAGTGCATTTTGAACCTCTTGTACGTCAAATGGACGTTTAACCTTTTGAGGTCCAGAATTGGTCTCCATCCCCCCGAGGCCTTTGGAACGAGGAAGACAATCAAGTAGAATCCGTGCCCCCGTTGATCTTCCGGGACTGGCTCGATGGCCTGGTTCTCTAAGAAGTGTTGGATCGCCTTGTGCATGAGATCTCTCTTGGCAATGGTTCTGGAGATGGAGCAATGGACAAAGTGCCTCGGAGGAATGGAGAAAAATTCCAGAGTTAGGCCGAATCTTAGAGTGTTCAAAACCCACAAGTCCGAAGTCATCCTTTCCCATTGGTGGGCAAATAGACCTAGGTACCCGCCAATGGGTGGAGAGCTCTGGCAGTCACTTGAAGCGGCGAAAGGGACGTCCCCCCTCCCCCACAAAAGGGCCACTTGGCCTGAGGATGCTGTTGCCATCTAAGCCTATCCCGGAAGGGAGGTCTGTCCTGTTGGTCAGACCTGGGGGGGAAAGAACGCTGAGGAGGAGGAGGAATCAGCAACACTGTCCGATTGGCAAAAGGAAGGCTGACGCCCATACAGCAAAGCCCGCCTATCAGCTCTCCAAGTAACAGAGGACAAGACTTTACACTTGTCTTGTTCTCTGTCAGAAATGGGTTCAAGGTCTCTCCGAAGAGAGTCAAACCCATGTAGGAGCAGAAGCCAACCTCCATTTGGTCTTTGCATCTGCCTGCCATTGACGAAGCCACAAGAGCTTACGGGAGGTATTGTTAGAGGAGAAACGGGCAGCATGCAATGAGGAATCAGTCGAAAACTCGGCTGCTGCCACCAGTTTGTTAATGTCTTGGTGAATGCATGTCTCCTCTGGGGGAACTCTCGCCTGTAACTCCTTAAGCTAGAGTAAGGAGGTCCTTACAAAAAAGGAGGTGGCTGTGGCTACTTTAAGCACCCAAGCATTGGCCAAGTGTGTACAGCGGAAATTCAATTCCGCCTTTCTATCCTCGGCCTTTAAGGCCTCAGCCATGTCCCCAGAGACTGCTGAGGGGGAAACAAGAAAGGCCAGAGGATCATCCACTGAGGGTAACTCCAAGTATCTGACAAGGAAGGATCCATATTGAAGTACCTCCTATCATTACTGCCTAGTTTGGGAAAAGTCCCAGGCTGGCTCCACTGCCTTTGAACATCAAGAAAAAACCTGGGACAGGGGATGTTCTTCTGCGTAATGACTGGTTCAGAGAACTCAGCCTTGTCTAACACCTGAGGACTCGAAGGTTCCACAGGTATGGATGAAGGGTTCCCAATTTGGGCAGTGGCCTTGGCTTTATGAAGGAGGGACCTGAACAGCGCTGCACGGAAGAGTCCCATAAAAGGAGGGGCATCAGGAACCATCTCGAGTTCATCATCAGAGAAACCTTGACCCAATTCCACCTCCTCTAATACAGGGGCTCTATCCTGAATGAGTGAGCTGGGGATGTGGACCTATGTGATTGCTCAGCCTCTCTGGCATACAAATAATGGTGAGGTTGCTGGGAATGTGTCTCAGAAGAGACAGAAGCAGCCCTGCTCCCCAGATGCAGGGTATTGGCCACACCCTGGGAGATAGCATGTGAAATGAGGACCTTAAGTTCCTCAGATAGTCCAGATTCATGCCTCTCAGCTGGGGGGAAACTTGCTGAAGTTGGAGTAAAGGGAGCTTCAGGGGCTAAAGATCTTTGCCTAAACTGGGGATCAGGGCCTACAGTTGCCCTACAGTCAAAGGGAAACTGTTCAGTTTGAATTAAACCTTCTGTTGGAAATATAGAAAAATGTTCCCTATCGCCCTCTGGTGACCAGCCCATAGGAACTGCAACAGTAGTCTGCAAACCTGGGGGGAGGTGGAGATTGCTTCAGACAAGGCAAGAGCTGGCATACTTTCCTGCTGTGCTCTGGAAATTTGTTTCTCCAGAGCTCTCATTCTCCTGTCCGTATCCTTTTCTTCAGCTCTGGAAAGTTTTCTGGAGTGAAGGGCTTTTGCCTTGAGTTTTCCAGCAGCCTCCTGGCTGGCTGATTTGCCTCTTCTGGAGCTGGCTCTTTTGCTGGGAGGTGAAGAAGAGGCTTTCTGCCCTGCCATGCTGTTGCCCATCAGAAACTGATCAGCCCTCTTGACAGCACTTTAGCACCTTCGTTGACTGCTGCTGAATGGGACTAAAGAAGGCTGGGCTGAGGTGGCAAGCCAGCACACTGTCCCTGTAGCTCTAAGTCTGAAGCTGTCAGGGAAAAAAAGCAAAACTGACAGCAGAGGATGGCCAAGCCAAAGGAGGCTCCTTAACACAAGCGATGCTAAAAAGCCAAACTGCAAAGATCAATAAAGCCGCTAAGCGGAAAAAAGAAAAAAAGCCTTTTAAAAGGTGAAAAAAACAGCTCTTTAGTGCGCGGGGAAAAAACCCCTCCCTGACAGAAAGCAGCTGCAAGGGAGGAAAGCTATAGGGACTCTAAGGAACAACAAAAAGGAAAGGGGAAAAAAGCCTCGGCAGCATTTTAAAGCGCTGCAAAAGCTAACCTGATAGCACAGAATGAACAATTGAAGAATCCACACTTCTGTCTGGAGATTGAAGAGCCAATCAAGCCACAACCTCCTCAGGCAAAACTGAGTTGTGAACTGGGGAAAGTGACAGTTGACAAGGGGTATGGCTAAAATTATGGACTCAGTCTCCAGGCAGAATGGCATGTGTCAACCCAGATTCTCCAATCATCGTGCTGGAGAACAGGGGTGTCAAACTGGCGGCCCACGGGCTGGATGCGTCACACGCCCACTCCAGCTCCACAAATGGGAAAAACGTCATGAAACATGACATGATGGCAACGTGATGCCGCAAGTTTGACATCCATATCCTAGATGATAGCTTCAAGATCCACATGGAGCTTGACAGACTTGAACACTGGGCCCTATCTAACAAAATGAAATTCAATATACAGAAAAGTAAAGTCTTGCACTTAGGCATGAAAAACCAAAAGTACACATATAGACTGGGTGAAACCAGGCTTAACAGCAGTAACTATGAGAGGGATCTTGGAGTCTTAGTGGACAACCAGCTAAATATGAGCCAGCAATGTGTGGTAGCAGCCAAAAAAGCTAATGCAATCCTAAATTGCATTAACAGAGAGATCAGGTGAGGTACTGATACCACTCTATAAAGCTTTAGTAAGACCACACCTAGAGTACTGCATCCAGTTTTGGTCACCACACTATAAAAAAGATGTTGAGACTCTAGAAAGAATGCAGAGAAAAGCAACCAAAATGATTAGGGGGCTGGAGTCTAAAACATATGATGAACAGTTTTGCAAGTACTCAGTATGGGTAGTCTAGTGAAGAGAAGGACCAGGGAATATATGATAACAGTGTTCCAGTATTTGAGAGGCTGCCACAGAGAGGAAGGGGTCAAGCTATTTTCCAAGGCACCAAAAGGCCAGACAATGAGTAATGGATGGAAACTGATCAAGGAGAGATTCAACTTAGAAGTGAGAAATTTTCTGACAGTGTACAATCAACCAATGGAATAGCTCGCCTTCGGAAGTTGTGGGAGCTTCATCACTGGAAGCTTTCAAAAAGAAATTGGACTGCCATTTGTCAGAAATGGTGTAAAGTCTCTTGCTTGGGTGCTGGAATGGCTGAAACTCTGAGATTTTTCCTAATCACAATTTGTTCAGTGCTGTTATAACCTTAGTCACTGAACAAACGGTCATGAGTTAAGCAGAACAAATGCATTTTACTCAACTACAAAGATGTGTGAAAGAAACATTCTGTAAATAGAGCATGCCTTGCCTGAACAATTGTTTTGTTTGGATCCACTTTTTTTGTGTGCAGATAGGTGCTGCAGAGGCAGCAATACCAAGATAGTGACAGCACACAGAGAAAAGGAGCTGGGATAATCAAGAGCAATGTAGATAGACCAGTCAGGTTGTTCCTGTTGCCTTTGAATTCAAGCAAGATAGCAGCAGGAGAAAAAAAAAACAGCATTGGGAGTGGGGAAGGTGTAGGTTGGGAGCACAATGTAGCAGTTAAAATCAGAAAAAAAAAATGGCTGAGACAACTGGAGGAAAAAAGGTCAAAGACTAAGCTAGGAGCATAGAAGTTGCAGGCAAAGAAGGTAATGGGATTATTCACTTTGGAAGACCCATCTAGACTTTGTTGTAGTTCCTGAAGAGCCATATAATTCCAAATTTTGGTTCAACCACAATCCTGTTAAACCCTGAGCTACAATATGTTCCGTGTTCTGCTACTTTTTATTCCATGTATCTGCTTACTGTGCAGTGATCTTGCCCCAACTGTGGCACCTTTCTATAGCCATATAGGATGCCAGAGTTGTGGCAACACTATTGTATTCACTGCCAATTGTAAAATGAACAGGGTAAATCACACTTGAATTTTTTCTTGTTTCAGAGATTTTGCTATTAGAAATAAGTATTAGGACAAATGTCACATGCTCCCTATCTTCTGGGATTGGTGAAAAACTGTTGCCAACTTTCAGACATCATAAACAGAAGGACCCTGAAAGCTGCAAAGTTTGCAGGTTGCTCATCCCTCATTTAGACTCCCAACCTATTAATTATTATTAGTTTCACATACATCAACAGCAGAAAGACTTAAAGCTCATAGCAAGTTACTGATTAAAATTAAACTGGTCAGCTAAATTGTTTAAAACAGAAATATATAATCTTTTCCCTGAAGAGAAGCTACTTACTTTAGCCAATAACTGAAGATATCAAGGAGAGAAGCAGCATTTGGATCTTGCTCAGTCTACAAAAGAATCATAAAGAAAATGAAAATTGGGAAAAAAATAAGATAAATAATATTTTAACAGTTACAGATACATATAACAATCCTGTCATCTTGCAAACATCCTATAAGTACAGAGCTGTTACACAAAGCATTCTCCCCATAAATACAGGTGGTCCTCAACTTACAACAATAAGTTACAATGGCACTGAATAAAGTGACTTATGACCATTTTTCACACTTATGATCCTTGTGGCATCCCCATGGTCACATAAATTCAGATGCTTGAGAATTGACTCACATTTATGATGGTTGCAGTGTCCTGGGGTCATGTGATCACCTTTTGCAATCTTCTGACAAGCAAAGTCAATGGGAAACCAGATCCACTTAATAACCGTGTTACTAATTTAACAACTGCAATGATTGATTTAATTGTGGCAAGAAAAGTCATAAAATGGAGCAAAACAAATTTCTCACTTAAGCAACAGAAACTCTAGGCTCAGTTGTGGTTATTGGGGACTAGCTGTAGTGCATTTAACAATAAAACAATTCCACTTGAAGGCCACCAGATTTTCAAGCGCTGATAAATGCTTTTAAGCAGACCACAATATAATTTGCTTGGTTTACTAAACTAAACACATCAGCAAAACAAGTTTGTTATTATTGGTAATATTATTGGTAGAAAGAAATATCTAGCAAGGTAACACTTAAAAACATTATTTTAAGAAATAAGATTACTTCTAGGTTTTCTGTTTAAATTAAGTTTTAAAAGTAAAGATCAATTTAGTGCATATTGTTTCCTATAAAAGCTTTTTAAGCTTCTTATACAATGTATTATGCAATATAGAAACTGAGATATATAAGTAGTATATAATACAGTTATTAATGACAGTACAAGTAGTCCTTGACTTACAAATTCATTTAGTGATTGTTTAAAGTTACGTTACTGAAAAAAGTGACTATGACCATTTTTCACTTACAACCATTGCAGCATCCCCATGGTCATATGATCAAAATTCAGATCCTTGGCAACTGACTCACATTTATGATGGCTGCAGTGTCCTGGGGTCATGTGATTACCTTTTGTGACTTTCTGACAAGTAAAGTCAACAAGGAAACTAGTTCCACATAACAACCATGTTACTAATTTGCCAACTGCAGCGATTCCTTTAACAACTGTGGCAAAAAGTCATAAAATGAGGCAAAACTCACTTAACAAATGTTTCACTGAGCAACAGAAATTTTTGGCTCAATTGTGGTTGTAAGTTGAGGACTGCCTGTACTGTTATTTGCTACACGCTTATACCTAAGCAAAGGGCAGTACAGAGACAGCAATAACACAGGGACGATGAGGGGGTGTAACACTCTAAATCCAGAGGAATCCCCCCCAGGTAGTAGTTGAGTAGCAGCGTTTCTTTTAAATGCCACGTGCGGCCACAGTATTCCCATAAGGTTTCATCTAAATTTCCCAAAAGACTGCAGTCGACCTCGACAAGATCTTCCAAGCCTCCCTCTTCTTCCTTACACCTGGGAACACCTGCCCTGCAGACATCCACGTGGCTATCCTGCCAGCCAATTCGGATAGTCGCGCAGACCTCCCAAAGGCACTTCCGAAACTGCGGCAGGGATTCCCTGTCCTGCAATCACGTGGGAAGATGCCCTTCCAGGATGGCCATGCACATGCGTGCCCGCCAGTTTGGCCTCACCACTCCAGCCGCTTTCTTAAAAGCCCGCGCCGCTCCATCGAAATGGTTTTCCCGCAAGAAACCAAGCACCAGCGGGAACAAGTCACTCGGCACAGCACGCTCCGACGCCATCTTTTCGCCGGAAGACGCAGTCGCCGCGCCGGATGCTGTGTGGGAGGAGAACTTAGAGATATAACGTTAGAGTGGCGCTTCTTAGTCTTTTCTGCGACTGCAAGGAGAACTACCTGTCGCGAAAGGGAAAAATCTCCAGCACCTTCTGAAGAAAACAAACGGCTGCTTTCGAAACTTGCATATAATGCTGGGAAGGGAGGGGCAAGCTGTTATATCAGGCTGAGGTGAGGTTAGAGAAGCTCCTGCCCCGCTCCTATTGGCCACCTGGGACTACTCCCCCTGCCGCTGAGTTGTGGCCCTTGGACTTCTGAGCCGTTTGTCCCTGGGCGACGGGGAGCGGAGGTTCTCCCTATGCTGGGAGTCCCACTGCACAACCTCTCTTGCCCACCGGTGTTCGCAGCAAAAATGGCAAGATAAGGAGAGCAAGCAGGGTTATTTTCTGCCCGCTCTCTTCCCCCTCTCCTCCCATGACAGGGAGAGGAGGAAGCAGGATCTCCTGTTATGTCATGTGTCCACTGGTTTGAAATTTATCCTAGCTGCCTAACTCTGTGGACTCCCAGCGGCATACAAAAAAACCCCAAATCCATTGAAACAGATAAAACATGCATGAACCATGATAGTAAAGCGGTCTCTGAAAAGAATCTCAATAACATGTTTAGAGCAGGGGTCGCCAATCTTTTGGATCTCAGGGACCACCAATCTCATACTTTTAAATCCCGAGGACCACTAATACGATTTTTTTAAAAAAAGCTAATATATTTAATATTTTTTTATGTTAAATTATATATATATATATATATATATATATATATATACACACATATATATATATATATATATATACACACACACACACACACACACACACACACATACATGATACACACACACACACTTACTTAATTATAACAAAAATGTAAATGCTTAATGATAACAAAATAAAATGTTCCAGGCTGGAAGCCTCCCCCCACCTTCCACCTTCCAAAGAGACAGAAGAGTGTGTGTGTGTATGTCTGAGCTGAGGGGCCTTGGGGCAACTGCCGCTGGGAGAAGCAGAGGCAGAAAGGGGCCTTTGCATTCCTTGGGGGGCAGTGCCCCTTGGCTGCCACGTGGGCAGCATCTGCCTGCAGAAGGACTGCCGCTCTTGGTGATTAATTGGGGGAGGGGAGGGGGAGAGAGGGGGAGCTCCTTTCAGATCCCAGGTGGAGGATTTAGAGGCTCAGATCTGCAGCCGAGGAAAAGCTGGGGGGGGCTCTTCCAGCGTCACCTGGAGACAGGCAAAGAAAGGTGTTCCTGGGGGCACTTCACTCGCTTTAGCACTTTGCTGCCAAACCCAGCCACAGCCACTGATTATTTGGGGGTGGGGGGGAGAGAGAAAGCATCTCTCGCATTACCAGGGGAGGAAAGGAGATGAAACAAAGCTCACTCTTTCACTGAGACCTACAAACGGCAATCTACCATGTTCCAGGAGTTCTTCAAAATCACCAAACGCTCCCACTTGCAGTTCCCGTGTCATGCGGCTCAGGTCCCTGAGATGCACGCTCCCACACACGGCGGCGGCAATAACAGTCTCCTCCCGATGGACTTCCGGTTTGCAGCGCTTCAGCGGCAGCAAGAATCTGCGATCGTGCGCGGTTTCTGCTTGCGCTTGCTGCTGGAGTGCCCCGAGCCAGCTGGCTTCGGGGCTAAGCCACCCCGTAGAGGTGGTCGAAGATAGGGGAGACCTGGCAGGGTTTGAGGGGAGCCGCACCTCCCCTCCTCAGCTGGCTTAACTCCCTTTTTTGAAGGCGGTAGAGCGGCGGTCAGAAATGGCCACCACAAAGAAGCACTCATCCGGAAAAGAATGTGCAGGAGGAAGCTAAGAAGTGAACGTTTTGGCTGACCGGGATAAGAAGCAACATTCAAGATATCCTGGAACTTAAATTTTAAAAAAGATACATAGCTCCCAAAGAAGATCCGGAAGCAGCAAATGAAAGTAAAAAGGGAAAGTTTGTTTTTTCTCACTCTCCTTCCTTACTGTGACAGCAGATGAATGAGAAATCGGAAAAACCCGCTTTGGCATTAGCAGGTAATTAAACTGGAAAATCAAAGTCAAGGGGACAATAAACATTTCTGATCACTGAAAAAAATTTTTTTTGCTGTAAGTGGGAAGGGAGAGGAAAAGAATAAGAGTAAGATTTGGCTGGAGGAGACTGCTTGGAATTTAAAAGAATGTAAAGTTAAATTGTAACAAGACTTCTAAAAGATACATTTCAATTGGAACTTTGTAACTGAATTGTAACCCCAGGAAGAGAAAGTGAAAAAAAGAAGAAAGTGTTAAATGAAACAGCTTGTGTGTATTTGGACTGCTTGGTGACTTTGGGACTTTTGGAAATTATATTTCAATGATTAAAATCACTTGGGTGGTTGTCTAAATTTTTTTTTACAATGGCATCACTTGTGGATGAACTGAAAATCGAATTTAAAAAATATAAAGAAGAGGAACAAGAAGGGAAGGGCTCTTTTGGCTCCATTTTTCATTTTTTAGAAATGGCGATCTCTACTTATGAGAAACTACAAGAACAATAAGATTGGGACAAAGAAGAAGCCATCTTTAATGAACAAGTAACTTTATCTGGGGAAGAAAGGGGAAAGGGGGAAAAGAGAATGGAGAATTTAAGACCTAAAAAAAACAACTAAAAAAGGGAAAAATAAGGTGAAAAGTGGATATAATGTCAGAAAGCAACAGAAAAGAGGAATACAGAAGAGGGAGATGGAGAGACAAGGGGGTAAAAAGGGCAGAGTGAAGAAGCAAGGGAGGAAGGAAGGGAAGAGAAGCGACAAAGGTTTGAAACAAGATGTAAAAAAACAGGATTTATTTAGAGATAATGGGTAAAAATATAACTGAAAAAGAGATTCTGCAAAGGTACATAAGACTGTATTGTTGTATTTGTATTAGAAATAATGTTAGAAAATTGGAATAACATGATTATAAAATGGGATAAAATATTCAATGTAATTCAGTGAAACTTTTTTTTTCTCTTGGACAAAATAAATGAAATATGAGAGAATTGAACTAAGAAGGAATGGGAACATTTTAATTACATAATGTTTTAAAATATAAGTGAAATGGGGGGGGAAGTAACTATGCAAAATTTATAAGTGTTCCCATAGAAGCATGATATCTATTTGAAAAGGAATGTGTAAAATGTTTAAGATTTAAATGAATATTAATTTTAACAATAGAGTTCAATTGGTATGGATTGTTGTTTTAATTATATTATATATTCATAATTTTTTCTTTTCTTAAAATATAGTGCGTAGCTTTAGAACGTACTAAGCAGAATCCGAATGAAAGTTATGTATTAAGTGTTAAATTTGGGGGAAAGGTATAAAGGCGTCATACTCCAATCAGTGAGAACAGGAGAAATTTTGTATTAATGAGAAAAGATAGTAGACAGCTGAAACAGGACAGACAAAGGATATAAGTATAATGATTTAAATTGAGATGAAATAAATAAAATAGAATTAAGAGAGTGAAAAGAGGGGAGAAGCTATATAGAAAATGTAGAATGGTAAGATATGGAATGGTATATAAAAGTGAGCATGAATTTGAATTTATGTCTGTACGAAGAGATGTAACCTGGGATCAAGCTGCTTTCAAAAAAGATGTTTTATGTTTTCATGTTTTGTGTTTTGTTTGTATATGTTTGTTTTTTAAAAATTAATAAAATTTTTGGAAAAAAATAACAGTCCCCTCCCCCAGCGCCCGCTGTCAGCTCTCCCCATTAGTTTTCTAGCTTTGAATTGCTCCTGGCTCTCGAAGCCTCGGAAACGCAGGCAAAGCCACCACAGCAGTAGCGCCCTGAGTTGCTTGCTTCTCCACTACTGCCTCCTCCTCCTCCTCCTCCTCCAGCACCACTTCCTTCTCTGGGTAGGGCAATTCTTAATTAACTGAGCATGCTAAGGCAACTCAGGACGCTACCGCTGCAGCGGATTTGCCTGCGTTTCCGAGGCTTCGATGTTGGGAGAGGCAGCGAGGGCTGGAAAAGGGGAGAGCTGTGCACAGCTCCATCTCCCTTTCCTTTCCTGCCTGCACATGGGCGGAGTGGGGAGGAAAGAGAGAGAGCCGGGAGCAATTCAAAGCTAGAGAACTAATGGGGAAGAGCTGGCAGCGGGTGCTGGGGGAGGGGACTGTTGTCGCCAGTGCTGGGTGTAGGAGCTGGTTGGCATGTGCATCTCAGGGGGCTGACTCTGGGGTCCCTCGGAGAGCTGGGAGGCGCAAGAACTGCATGGCCCAGATTAATTGCTTTTGGGGGCCATTTCTTCTGAGGCCCACCAAAAATTTTCCGTGGCCCACCGGTTGGCGACCGCTAGTTTAGAATCCTCCAAACGCCGCAGCGTTGAAATCCAGCGTTGAAATCCAAAAATGTGAAGACACATGTTTCAATACAAAGAAATGTTAGAATAGGATTTGTATCTTAATACAGAAAATCCTTAAAGTGAATGAATATAAGAAAATCAGAGACTTTTCTTTTGGGTTTAATGGAAAAAGACTTGGGGAAAAAAATGGAACCTTGATGTTGTACATGTTGACAGCAGCAAGACTATGCACAGAAATGAAAGGTCACCTTAATCCTCACAATGGATGAATAAACTGCAAAAATCAATGGTATTAGCAGATATGGCTAAATTGATTGCTTTGATTAAAGAAAAAAATACGAATACTTTTATTTCTACTTGGAAACCACTTCTAGATTTTGAGGTGGAAAAAAATAAAACTTTGATATTGGGTTTTACCGATTAGATAGATTTGTAGTTATAGAAATGTCTAGTTTAAATTATTATGTAAAAGTAAAAAGTTGAGGTTTGATATTAATGCCTTATTCTACTGCACTGAATGACATCGGAAGTCAATGCCTTTTCTTTCTTTTTCCTCTTTTCTTCCCTCACATTTCCCTTTTTCCTTCCCTATTTTTCCTATTGTTTACTTTTGTATTTTCTTTGTATGTTTCATTATAAACTAATAAAAATTGTTATCATAACTTTTTTTAAAA